TCAAAGGTGACTATCACGTATAACGGCGTCTGAATGTGTGGGTTCACAACGCTTTTTCTGACCCGATGGAGGCGCGTATGCGTTCTTACAAGATTAAGTATCAGAACCACATCCACTGCTAGCTAGTTTTGAACTCCTCACTAATAATCCGGGATACGGAAAGTCCCTATAAATGAACATACACTTCTATGATCCAACAGTATTTATATACAAATACATGTGGAACAAAGTGCGTAGTGTCACATGTTCAAAGGTCAATCACTAATCCACTCAAGCTGAGGGACATCACACTGACAACCAAACACACAAACACCACTCTTCGTCTTACTAGTGAAAAGCGATCGAGAATGTCCTATCAGTGCTAATTAAACGGTGTTCGGTACCCACGTCTTTTCTACGTATTTTCCTACCGAACCTATAGAGCATATGCTCTAGAACGTTTACCTACCGAAGCTAAGATGTGTCAATAGGCACAGCAGCAGGATCCGTATGCTGCTGCAGGATGGTAACATTTGATGGTAGTTAGATCATGGTTGCAGTACGCGCGTGGTTCCTATAGTCAGAAATCGGATTCTGCTTGGGACAGGAAAGTCCTAACATCTGAGTGAATCTCTGCTGTATACACAACTGGTTCATAGAGACGGGTCGTAGTGGTTTCATCGGCTTCTAATACGCCTGTGGTTGCAATTTAAGTGATTATAATGTGCCGACAGGTGACCTTGAAGTACTCACCCAATTTGGTGGCATAGCCTGATGGTCGGCCATCAATACAGTAAACAACCTCAGAGCACTGTAAGACAACCTTGATAGGGTTTACGAATGCATCAGCTTAACGTGACTGTGTGGAGTGTTAAGCCAACACCACTAGAGCGCACCTTTATCAGCACGCTTCCCAACAAAGTGACATCCGATGTTTCGTACAGAATGATCTTGGTTGCTCGAGATAGGCGGTCAAGCTAGTTAAAACATAGGCCTCGTAGAGGATTTGGGATATACGTTGAAATTCTCTTGACTCACAAGAACCCTTCCGCATGTTCTCTCTCGTTCTCTGTGTGCGTGCATGTATGTACGTTTGCTTATCCCGTCCCTTTGTCCTGCTACTCTGGGCTCCATGTTTACGAAATAACCATGACCAATTTTCTTCGAATCTCCGGGCATCGTGCCCCCTGTTCAATCATGAGATCAATTCTTGTATTGTGCTTTGATGTATTCTATCTTTAAGCACGAACGAGTGTCTGTCGATCGATCAAACGGGCACAAGCCGCACTGTGCATTTTTGGTCACACATTCTTGTCGGCTTGCGGCGTAATTTACTCGCACGAATGGAACCTCAGCGTTACATGTTGTTGACCTCAGAACACGAACAACTGATGTTTTCAAAGTTTGATTTGGAGTACCTGCTGTGTGGTTGGATTACGACACGCAACCTCTATTCATACCTCGGATCACTTTGAAGTAGGCTTCGGTCATTGAAATCACAAGGACCATATCCGAATTGGAGGTGATTCGGTGTTGATCCTGCCAACAATGAGGTGTCAGTGTTGGGAGGATCAACACCGAACCACCGCAAACAATTGAAGTTCCTTTATCTATTTAATTATCGCGTGACAATCAGTACCGTAGATTGCGTCTCCAACCACGTTTTCTCAATATGGGATGGATTCTTATGCGTAGCTCGACGACAGCGTTTTGCAGCAACAGTGCACTTGCAGAAGGCCTCAGGGGCGACACGTCGCGCAGACCTGACAGCCCTGGTAAAATCGTGACCTCGTTGGGTTTGAGATCACAGCGGATGGTGGTTAAAGGTACTAACGACTTACTCCAACTTCCTTAGAAAGTGCGAGCTCTGAGAAATGTAGCGGGCAATTTCAGCGTTGGCAGGTTTTTCTTGTGACAATGTTCCAGGTCCTCAAAAGTCCATACAACGCTTGTGGTCAGCTACTGGAATTCAGTCACGAAACCCATCTAAGAAACCACCAATTAAAACTAGCAACATAGTATGACAGGTCGGGGTGCTTCGGGCATGTTATCTCGCTTCCAGTGTGTCAGTCATGGAATGCACTTCCCATTTCCCTTTTTCCTCTCGTACGTTATGCGGTTTCTAAATGCGGCTTCCTTGTTTACTTAAGCATCTAAGCCAACTATACTGGGCCACTTCAAGACGCAGCCTAACATTGTGCATATGTGAACACTTCGGTAAATCCACAAATACGAGTTATTCATTTTTGCCCCCATTTTTTAACGATTTCACGCTTTTCATATAAGAACCTTGTCAAGTAGTTGCATTTAGATCCACGAGATGTGAAATCCTACCCAAATATTGTCAGCAACCTGACTCGGTGCTCGTCCTTGAGGGTGCCCAACGTAAATAAATGGACTGCTTTATTTACTTTGCGAGCTGAGTTTCTGCCGATGGCTCCAATGGAAAGCAGGCTTCTCTCCGTATTGCGGAACCTTGAGCAGTGTCCACAGATCTGAGGAATCTGGCGTCGTTAGGACATGTCCTTCTCGATAAAGGGAGGGACTACAATGCCTGCGTTCACGAGCTGCTGATATTCAGAAGTGAATCTTATCCGATTTATGTAAATGATGAGCGTCGGTCGGTGGTTGAAAGCGTTACGCGCTTTCCATATAATCCGGAAGTGACCTGTTCGAACCCGCGTAGATGCAGGCGACGTCGCGGTATATGCAGCACTAGCTCAACTGGTGGTGGTCACATGGCAACAAAGTATTGAAACGGTGTTTCGGCGTGCCGCTGATGCCTTATACATCAACCCGGCAGGACTAAGACTGTCTAGTCAATAGTAAACTCTACTCCCTTTAACCTACCCTGGGCTTTAGCATTTTCAACAATTTCGGTGATCAAAATTTAGAGAGTCGCTCGCAAAAGCCTCTCGATATTACCCAAATCCGTCCGGGATCTGTGCCCATCACATACGCCATTACACCTGAGTATTTTATTAAAAATCTGCATCCAGCCTCGTTCCTTGGTGATCGTGAAATACGTCGTTTGTGTCCCGAAATATATATTAGAAACTCGCAATTTCTCTTCTGCATACTTGTGTCATCTGATTTTTTCCGATGCAATTGTATACTGAATACTGTATTATAGAGCAAGCAGAAATGAATGCTGTACAACTCTTTCGAAATATGCTGTAAAACTTTACAAAAATTGTCAGTCTTGAATATCGTTATCGTTCTCCTGTAACATTTAAAATACCTGACTCACGGTATTGCAGGACTCACAAATGCGATGGGCCACTGTAATTGTGCAATCGTTCGCTGAATCGAATAATGATAAAATATGGATCTAACAACGTTTTGGACTGCTGCACAGATGTTGCCTCAATCACATGTTCAGGTAAACCGTTCCAAATATTTACGACTCTCCGTTCGAAGCACAGTGGGTGGGGAACACGCTTCACATCCGGCAAGGCAAGTGTGTATCTGTATGCGCGTGTGCTGCATGGCTCTCGTAAATGCAGCGTTGGGGAAGTAACCGAGATGTAGAATGCGGTAGGTCATAATAAGATCGACTCGCACCCGACGGTAGAACAAGCTGTATAGTCCTAGTTTCTCGCACCGGTCTTCATACCCCAAGCCACGTAAACTAGGGTGAGCCTGGTAACAGCGTGTTGGACCCGTTCCATCTTTTGTGTCTCGCCTCGGATAATCGGAAATTAGGCGAGCGAACCGTGCTCTAGCGTTGGTCTAATGATGGAAGAGAAGAGGCGAGTGGTAACCTCTTCAGACCATGTGTCGAAGCTACGTTTGAGCGCCCAAAGCATGCGTAGTCCGTTACGATATAGCCTGTTTGTGTTGTCCACGGACCTCAAGTCGTAGCGCGAGAGTACACCTAGGTCCTTCACAGTGGGTGTGGGATATAGCGGTTGGCCCTCAAGGGTGTAGGTTCGGCCGTCAACACCCTTACCCAGGCTCATAAATACAGACTTGGCTGGGTTGACCGGGAGATGAACTTCTGCAGACCATGTGGATAGGCGGTTGAGGTCTTTGAACAATGAACAATGAATTTATACGGGTTAAGAAGCGTTGCTTTACAAGTCCCGTTGGATAGTTGGTGGGGATATCGACATAACAATAATGATGATAAGGATAGTAAAATAGTTAATACTTTAAATATGAAAATAAGGACTTATCGTTTGCTTCGCTGTAGTCCTGCGATCCTCTTAGATTCACAGCACCCACAGTTAACAACAAATAATTCCATGGTAAACTCCAGGTGTAGGATGGAGACGTAGTGTTAAGTGACAAAGTGTAAGTGGATGAGTGCTTCGTCCAACCGTCTTTTAAATACTGTTAGTGTCGGTGCAGAGACGACCGATTCTGGGAGAGCATTCCACGGGTGACAGACACGAATGGAAAAGAAATTTCTGCGGCACTCCAGACGACTGTATTGTTCTGCGAGTTTTAATGAGTGGCCCTTCAGGTTTGTATTGCTGCTGAGTTGCAGTAAAGGGCGGCACACATGATGTGGGTCTCGCAGAATCAAGTATGCCATAATCAGGTCGCCTCGTATTCGGCGATAGCTTCCACTGAACAACCCCAGTCGTTGCAGCCTCTCCTGGTAGGAAAGATTGCGCATTCCAATTACGTTCTTAGATGCCTGGCGTTGTGGCTGCTCCATTGCATTAAGGTCATGTTTCAGCCATGGATGCCAGGCTTGAATTGCGTATTCGACATGGGAGCGAACATACGCACTGAGCATTTGTCGAAATATGGAGCTGTTTATTTGTCCAAACGCCCGCCTCAACAGCCCGACGTGTTGGTTCCCGGTCTTCGAGGCCTTTTCGGATTGCCTGGAGCAACCCAAGTCATCTTGAACCAGGACACCCAAGTCACGTTCGAGAGTTGATTGTTGTAGTATATTCGTTCCGAGTCGGTATGAGTAGCTGCTCTGATGTCGGATGGAAAGCACCTTGCATTTACTGACGTTGAAATGCAATAAGTTTTGGGTCGACCATTGATACATCGTATCTAAATCACTCTGAAGCACATGTTGGTCGGCGTTCGCCTGGATCCTGCGCCAGATCTTGATATCGTCGGCAAACATTAGGAAGTTTGAAGCGATTCCCTGTGCAAGGTCATTAATAAACACCAAAAACAAACGTGAACCTAGAACTGAGCCTTGCGGCACACCACACTCGACTTGTATGGGGTCCGATAAAGAGCTCCGAACTCTGACCACTAATTGCCGTTGAAGTAGAAAGTTGGCGATCCAGCTTAAAAGAGGGTCGCCGATCCCGTAATGCTGCAGCTTGGATAGTAGTATCCGATGGTCTAGACGATCGAAAGCCTTGGAAAAATCCAGGTAGATCACATCAACACCTTCTCCAGCGTCAGCTGCCTCGGTCCAACTACTGCGTGCAATTAGTAAATTCGTTGTACATGACCGCTGTCGACGGAAACCGTGCTGTTCAGGAGTGATGAGGTTGCAGTTTTCCAGATAGCACACCAGTGCATCGGCAACTATGGATTCCATGACCTTGGAGAGTATAGGAAGAAGGGTTACTGGGCGGTAGTTGGAGGGATCAGTTCTGCTTCCACCTTTGTGAATCGGGGTTATTATTCCAAGCTTCCACATGGCGGGAACTTGGTTCTGGTCTAAGCAGCGCTGGAAAAACTGAGCTAAAGGTCCTGCCAGTTGGCTTGCTGCTGCTCCCAATGCCTCTGGACGAATGGTGTCGACAACCGGCGAGCTGTGTTTGCGTAGAGAAGTCAGCTTTTGCAATACAGCCTCTGCGGTAAAAGTGATGTGGGTTAGTCCTGGCGAGCAGAAGACAAAGCTTGGTAGATCGCTTGGTGGCAAGACTCTTCGAAACGTGGGGGCGTATTGCATCTGCAGCGCGTTTGCTGCTTCCACAGCCGTTCTTGTTGGGCCATCAGCCGTCCTGAGTAGAGGAAATCCTTGCCTCACCTTTCGTAGGCTATTAACGTGCTTGTACAGCAGTTTGTGGTTAGCACTGAAGGTTTTTGCGATGTTCTGCTGATAGGCGGCTTTGTCTTCTCTTAACAGTTGAGTGCAGTGGTTACGTTGGGCTACGTAGTTGTCCCAAGTTTCTGGTGCTGGAGCTTCTCTGTACACTCGCCATGCTGCGTTGCGTACTGTCATCCATTTTCGAGTTCTGCTCCTAACGAAAGAAACTGATTTGCACTTATTGCAAGCTTTTATCTCTGAAGCCTGTGCAATCAGCTGACTGAATTTTCTGACGAACTCGAGCCAGGCGACTTCCGGGGGTTCTTCTTCGAGGAAAGACCATGTTGTGGCGCTGACTAGCTGGGCGAGTCGGTCGTACCTTGTGATGGTTCGCACAGTCTCATCGTTATCATTCAGATATTCTGCGTAGCAGACGAAGTTGAAACTGATGACTGCGTGATCACTGCGACCCAACGGGCAGTCTAAAACCAACGCATCAATCATATGCTCCTCGTTGGTAAGCACAAGATCCAGCACAGATGGCTTGTTACCAGTTCTGAACCGAGTGGGCAAAGTGATGTGATTGTAAAGAGGAACAGTAGTTACTAGATCTTGTAGATCGGTTTTGAATTGTTCTCCGATCGTGGCAGGGGCTTCTAAACAATGTACGTTGAAATCACCCATGATAAGAATGTGAGTGTACTTTTGTTGTAAACTGCACCTTAAAGCAGTCGCTAGGTGGTAGTCGGTTTCGGGTGTTGAGTTAGGGGCGCGGTACACCAAGACAATAAGGCAAGCGTCCCTGCCTTTTAACTGCAACCGGCACCAAAGAGAGTCGGGGAACTGCGAGTCTGAATCCTCCACGGCTTCGCACTGTAAGTCGTTTCGGTAATACAGGATTACCCCTCCTCCTTTTGTGAGCCTGTCGTTCCGGATCAGCGACATGCCGGGTAGCGAAACTTCAGCGTCCGTCATTCCCGTGTGCAACCATGTCTCGGTGATACCAATGATATCATACGAGCCGGAAGCTTGGCGATCTTTCAGTTCAGCCAGTTTGTTAGAAAGACCCTGAGCATTTGTATACAAGCAGGCCAGTTTCTCGGTCTCTAGGAGCCCACAGAGGGGTGAAGCGGTCACGTGTGGGAGAATGCCGACCGATGGGAGGTCGGCAGTTACTCGTTTTTTTATGGGTCAATGATACCTCGTTTGCAACTTGATTCGGCCAAGGTGCGTCCCAACCTTCGTTTAGACCTACGTCAGAGTCAATTAAAGCAGCAGTCAAGTTACGCTTCTGTACATTCGTCGGTATGCTTGCTGCTTCAGTTGCTTTAATATTTGAGCTGTGCAAAGTTTTGCGACCTTTAACCGAATTTCGGAAGGAAGATGTTTCCGATTTCTCCGCCATCGATCCAAAACATCCTTTGCTTGTTGCTCTGACTGAACCACAATTTTTAGGATTCTAGGGCCGCATCCTCTATAATTTGGTGAGAGAGGTATCCTGGTGAGCGATAGTGCCACAACATTATCCAAAGAAAGTGTTTCACGAATGAACCGCCACTGTTCTAAATCGTGCTTTCCGGTCTCTTGAACATCGTTAGAAGGATGTTCTGGCACGCCATGTATGAAGATTGTGTTTAGGCGGTCTTGCTTGCTGTGCCCCTCTTCGGTGTTTCGTTTTGGTTGTCGCGCGCTCCAAGGGACATCAGGATAGATACGTATCCCACAGGATTCGTGTTTTAGTGCGCTTGCGGAGAGCAAAACGTTTTCTACGTCGGTGGAGGATTCTAGAGTTACTCGAATAAGTCTGGGTTCGCCATAGTGTGGCGAGTTCGGATGACGAGTAATTCGTAACAAGTTTATGGGCTTGGCTTTGATACTCATCTGCATGCACAATGAGTTCCATTGGTCTTGGTCGTCTGATAACTTATCCCGCAATGTGATGGCGGTAGATTCAGGGACATTTGAGCATACAACAGTCCGGGCACTGTTGTTGGATCCCTTTTTCGTCGATCTACAAGGTATGGTACTCATTTGTCCTGACTTGTTGACAAGTGATTGTTTGCTGTTTTTCTCTCTATTCGCGTTAACGGTGTTTACAGTGGAAGAGGACGCAACGGCGGCCTCTCGGTGGACCCTTGCAGCAATCTCTGCATATGTAACCGATGTTCTGGGAGGCTTAGTCTCGACAAGAGATATTTGAGCTACAGGTACCAAGGGTTGGTGTTTGGCTGCTTCATCCTTGTTAATGCTAGATGTCAGGTCTAGAGGAATTTGCTTAACCAGACGTTTTGAATGGTGCCTGATTTTCGTTGCCGTGAGTACTGTTTGATTCTCGTAGGTACAGTCTGTTTTCGCCCGGCGTTCTACCAAAGTTGGAGAAGACAACGGAGATGGAGAGGTGGCTGAGTGCGGTTCAGGGGAAGTGGATTGTTCAGCATTCCGTTGCTTAGAAGCCGCTACGCTTCTGTGGTGCATACTCGCTTCCATTGAAGTAATCTTATTGTTTATCCTCTGCTCTGCTTCTGCGGTTAACCGGTCGCATTTCTCAGCTAGGATAAGCAAGCACTTAACGAGGGGGATGGTGGAACACGCAGTACAGAACCAAAATGCATCTTGGGAGCTATTTCGCTCCCGTAACTGTTGTTGGGACACATTTGCACATTTCGTATGGTACCATTCCAAACAGTGCGAACAAGCCAGACCGATTTTTACTACTCGATGACATTCTCCTAACCCGCAAATGCCTTTCGCTTGGAGTCTCTTCGGTTTCGCCTTTCTGTCATTCAATTTGGTGTCGTTACCTGACCCAGTGGGTTGGTTAGCGTTCTGTACTTTTACAGCTTTGAGAGCGGCGCACATTGGTCAGGCGAGCGTGGTGGTTGCAAGGTCAAATGAGCGGTCGGCGTGGTCGCGCGGTCCGTGTGATGGGTTATGCAGCCGCACTGGCTGACAAGGTCACAAGGAATGGCGAGTGACTGGAACCTGAACAGAGCGCTGAACACAGATTGACAGATCACAGATCATTATTTCACAGCTGTGTTGAGAAACACTGGATCGGAATAAGCTTAGGCTTTTCGGCCTGCCTCGAGAATTCTGTATCGAATGGTGTCACACAGAAAGGCAATCGGCTCAATATGATTGAGTTAAGCGCTTGCGCTTAATCACAGATGCCAGTGAAAACGGTTAGTGATGGCACAGCGTCTAATCGTAGAAGATATTTCCACGTATGATGGATCACTGTGTAGGGCTGGTAAATCCGGTTCGAATGAGCGTACAGTGACAACGCTGCGAGAAGATGGAGAGAGGATAGAGGGGAATAATCCAAATGAACCAGGAGCACGCACGTCACGCGTGTGTGAGGATGACCTTGCTAAAGTACGCCACCGTCGTCGGGAGCGTCGATTCCTCTCCAAACCATCATTCCGTCCGCAAACAAGACACACGGTGACCGTAGTAGCTGAGGTAGATGTTACGTGTTCAACCAATGATCGCTCACTATGACCGTGAACCTGATTGGCCCTACACACACACGTAGATAAGCACGCACACACGCACTCAAGGACACACCCTAACGTTCCGTGCTCACATGTAAAACCGTTAAGTGTTCAGTACACTGTGCGCTAGACTGACGCGTCTTCTTGCTTATTCGCTACGAGTTGAAATACGTACTTGCGGTTAGAGTCCAGTTGTGATAGTAGATTGTTGATGTGGATCAGGAACAGAGTGGGGCCCCAGCACATTGCCTTGAGTTACGCCACTTGTAGAGGGATACCAACCAGTTAGATGGTCGTCGACTTGTACCCACAGATTGCATCAGAGGAAAGTTGCATAAATATCCAACACTGTCGTCTTATCCTTGCTCCACTCGTACTGAAATCCGATAAGGTTTTCACCAAACTACGCACTATGCCTCGAGGAGATGCGGGTGCCAACAATGTGGAAGCAGGGAATCGTCACACCTATCCATAAGGGGGAAGCCGTACAGATCCGGCCAACTATTGACCGATAACAAGACTTCCGGTGCACTCCAAGATCATGGAAGCAATTGTTGCCGAAGCGCTCATGACTACTTGCAAGAACGAAATATCATAGCACAAAAACAACATGGATTTCGTAAGAACCGAGCTTGCACTTCAAACTTGCTACTTGCTAGATCCAGTTGGACTGAGACCGTCGACAGCAGCGTAGGTGTTGGTGTAGTATATCTGGATTTCTCAAAGGCCTTTGACCGCCTGATCCACCGTAGCCTCCCTCACAAGCTGCAGTGCTGTGGAATTGGTGACCAAATCCTCGGGTGGATAGGCAACTTCTTGATTCAACGACATCTGAATGTATGAGTTTGAGGCGTCTTCTCTGACCCAATCGATGTTAAGTGCGGAGTGCCCCTGGGCTCAGTACTTGGTCCACGACCATTCCTGATTTACAGAAACGATCTAGTGACAGTGGTCAAAACTATCTCTTTACTCTTCGCTGATGATCTGAAGATATGGCTAGCCATTAGAAAAACCAGCCACAATGCAGCACTTCAGGATGATCTTGACGGTCTAAGAATGGTCGACTCAGAACGTGCTTCAGTTCAATGCTACAAAGTGCAAGGTGTTGAGCGTACGCCATAAAGCCACTTGAGAATACAGACTGGGGATCAAATGTTGCAGCGCACTTCAACGGAATTCGATCTAGGCGTGTATGAAGATCTGGACTGTTCGCTTCAGGTCGAGAAAGCCTCCAAAAAAAGCTAACCAACATCTTTGCATTTTGTGGAGGGCATTCGAGCGCTTTGATCCTTCCATCTTTTCGCAGATGCTCAAAGCGCACATTAGACCTCATTCTGAGTACGCCATCCAAGCCTAGCAGCCATGGCAAAAGCAAGACTTTACCGCTCTTGAACTGCCACAACGAAGGACGACCAAGAAAGTAAAGCGCCCGTTTCATCTCCCCTACCGATTGAGGCTGAAAACCGTCGGGGTCTACAATGGACAATATCGACGCCTGCGCGGTGACTTGGTAATGACATATGATCCTGAGAAATCGAAACCATTCTTGTCGTCACCCACTAAAGCTGAATCTCATTATCACACTCAGAGGACACCAGCTAAAGCTGGCCACACAATACAGCCGGTTGGAATGCCGCCGGAATTTCTTTTCCCTTCGTGTGTGCAAACACTGGAACGCTCCTCCCACATACGTTGTTTCTTCCCCCACCCTAACGGTAGTCAAGAGACGTCTGGAAGATTCGCTCATCCACTTACATTACGCAATATAATCAGTGACGTCGACGTCAACTAAACGCGACCAAACGGTGCGCATCCTCAGCTTTTGTGCTTTACTACTTAAATGCTGCTGCTGTGGAATATCTTTCGGATGTACAAAAGCTGCATTCATCAATTACATCAGTCCAAGAAAGCGGCGCACGAGTGAGTGCTGTCGTTTCTTTTGTTCTTAAGACATATCGTTCCCTTATTTAGAGTAACAATTCAATACGAATTCTAAAAGATTTTAATGAAGCAGAGCACCTGAATCGCTAGATGCTTAAATTGACGATTTACACTTATGTTTGCTTACATTTCAACCATCCTACGGGACTTATAAAGCGATCGCTTTTTTACCAGTAATATGTCATTATTCAACATTACTGCGTAAGCTGAAAATAATTCGCTCAAAAATTAGACAGACTCGAGACTTCGCATTACTTATCATATAGGAGAAACTCTTTGACCAGTTGCGGTCGATTCGTGTCGCAAGCCTACTAAGATAGAAAAAGCGATCATTGATAAATGACAATAAATCGGAAGCCTTGGTCAAGCTACTGAAGGCCAGAAACGACAGACAAACTAAATCGGTATCATGCATCGTACTATCTGACAGGTCCATGGCCAGGGACCCTACCATGATAGGGAACGGCATGAGTGAACATTTTTCCACTTTGTTTACTACCTCAAGCAACACACTTGTGATTAGCGCTGCTGTTGGCAAACTTAGCACAGAGCATTTCGATTACGGTGTCATGCAGGCTCACAATGATCGGCTACAGTCTTCGTTCCATCCTGGACCTGATGGTCCACCAACTTCTCTGATAAAGTTTGATGGCCGGGATATATTGACCTTGCTTCTAAACGTGTTTACCCTATCTATGAATTCAGGTATATTCCCGAATCAATGGAAACTCTATTATAGAACCTGGACATAAGAATGGTTCAAAACTAGACATAAAAATTACCATCCGATTAGCCACACTCCGATTATTTCGAGAATAATGGAAAGAATTGTGATGGAGAAAACTGTTCTGCACTTACTGTCATTAAAGTTGATAAACCCAGCTCAACCTCGGTTTTCGCAAAGACGCTCATATCAGATTTGTCAAATGTCTTTTCTAAACCATCTGACAAGCTCCACTGACAACGGAAAAGTAGCTATCATTCTCTTTATTGATATGCAGAAGGCATTTGACAGAGTGCCGCGCCACAACCTCTTGGTGAAACTAACCAATTTCGGGATCATTGATCCCTTGCGCACATGGTTCAAATCTTACCTATCTGATCGTACGCAGCAGGTACAAATAGGATATATTAACCCTTCGCCAATGAAGATCAAAAGTGGTGTAATTCAAGGAAGTGTGCTAGGTCACTTGCTCTTCTTAATGTATATCAATAAAGTAAATGAAACAATAACGTTTGGGACACCCTATATCTCTTTGCGGATGAGATAAAAATACTGTACACCTTCGATAACCGGTGTTTGAACGACACCCTAGAAAACGTGCGCATAGAACTAGTGGTATTGGAATCGTGGTGCACTGACTGGCAAAGGTCTTTCTCAGCGGACAAGTGCAGTGAGTTAACATCCAAGTGCGAACTTTCGCCGAATGCACTTTACCCTGGTGGTAAACCCATCCCCTACAACAAGACCATACGAGATCTAGGCGTCCAGTACTATAACACTGAATTTTGGTGAACAAGTTGAATTCATAACGGTCAGATAACGATGGAGCGCAAAACATCTTAAAATCATTTACGATGCGTGAACCTAAACTGCACTTGTTTAAGGCCTGCGTTCGCCGTGTGGTGAACAAGAAACATTTACGCTTTCACTATTTTGTGACATTGGATTTTATTATTGTTTATATCTTCCGATGGTCCATTCGTTTTACAGACGGCTCGTCTGGTTCACTTCGAACTCTCTGTGATTCACCCTCTACCATTGCACTGTGCTCTTGCTAATTTGCTTCTAGTCCATTACAGCTCTTTACAATACACGTTGGGCTCGGCTACATACTCACATCTGAATAATCGTTATCCGTATTGGTTCCTACTAGTTCTCGTCACAACCAGTATCTGAGTTCTGCTCCATAGATTTCACGAAGATGATGAAAATGCTCAACTTATAATCCAACACACGAAATGTGGTATTTGGCACAAAATACACGTGAGGGCATTTGCACGATATCTGACTATCTTGCAACAAGTGCCACATGGTGATTGCTTCGGCATTGCGAATAAGCCGAAAACAAGATGGCGACCAGTTGCTTGAGAAAATGACGATAGGAAGATTCCCAAAACCAAGCGGTGAAAACACAAATATTTATGGTCGAAAAATTCCGAATCATAAGTGAAACTGAATGGTATCTAAATTTTCAGGAAATAATTCCAATGAAGGAAGA